AACTCTTGGGCTTAAGCAATTCTCTTGCCTCAGCCTCCCAAGTAGCTGGGACTATAGGCGCCTGCCACAACACCCAGCTATTTTTTGTTACAGTTACCATTGTTGTTTAGCTGGCCTGGGCTGGGTTTGAACCTGCCAGCCTCTGTGTATGTGGCTGGAGCCATAACCACTGCACTATAGGTGCCAAACCAATATGTTTTGTTTTGTTTTTTAACTTTGCCCCTTAAGAAGCCTAAAATTTGAAATCTGATAAGAATTATGTTAAATTTATTTCCTTTATTCCTATTATTGGTCATGCTAATCAGCAGCCATCTAAACAGAGGAAAGAGTCCTTATAATAGGTATTCAGACAGTCCTAAACACCATTAACAGTATATAGGTTCTCCCACAAATTTTAGTATAAAACACAAATAACTTAAGAATTTCACAGAGATGATGATACTGAGCAGTCAGACTCATACCATAACATAAGTCCATATGTGAGTTTCAAATTTGAGCTTCAACAAAATGACAAATTAATACATTTCCTGAAACTTTTAAGGTCACAAACAGATCTACAAATATTAAGTTAGTATATGCCAAAAGTCTACTATTATACAAATGCAAATACAAACTTGGTCTTTTAAAATCAAACACCTAACTAATGGAGTACAAAACATCTGATGAAGTTTGAAAGTAAGGACTTCTGCAGATGGTGTATTGTTATCTAGGCTTGTATCCATTATTACAGTATCATGCTAACAAGATTACCAAGGGCTTTAGGAATCATCTCATTTTTATTGCAAGAATTACTTTTGGACTGTCCTTAATAAATGGTTTCAATCTTAATTTCCAGTGCTGGACAACTCTCATCATTAGAAGGCCTATTTTCCTTTTAGTCAGCTAACAATTATTCCTTCAACTGTTACCCGCTGGTCCTCGCTGTGTCCTCTATTCTCTTACACAGAAGACCTTTTAAGTATTTTGAAGGCAGCTATCATTTGATATTCCCTCTCCTTGGCTTTTACTTCTCTAAGTTAAACATTGTGATAGTTTCTAGTTCTTACATAAATGATAGATAATTATTGGACCTTTTAATCAATCCAAGGTATTTCTTAATGTCCCTTAAAAATTATGACACCCAAAGTTACACAAGATAATTCAAATGTAGCCTAATCAGCATAAAAGAGAAGAATATTTCCTATAATTTGAACCATTCAATTTATTATTATTGTTATTTATGCAGCCTAAGACTATATGCTCTTTCTTAGCAACTATCTCTCACTTGATAAATGTGAAGTTAAATAAACCCCAAGTCTTTTATTCTACCATTTTTTAATTTTTAATTTTTTTATTTATTTATTTTTTACTTTATTTTATTTTATTTTTTGAGAGAGTGAAAGAATTTCTCACTCTGTTGCCCTGGAAGAGGGCCATGGCATCACAGCTCATAGCAACTTCAAACTCTTGGGCTTGAGCAATCCTCTTCCTTCACCCTCCTGAGTTGCTGGGACTAGGGGTATGTGCCACTATACCTAGCTAGTTATTTCTATTTTTAATAGAGACAGGGTCTCACTCTTGCTCAAGCTGGTCTCAAACTCCTGAGCGCAAGCAATCTACATACCTCAGCCTTTTACAGTGCTAGGATCACAGGCGTGAGCCACTGCAACAGGCCTCTTTCATTTTTTAAAATATAAAAGAATTACTCAATATTTCCTGAACATCTGAAATAACCAAGGCACATTTGTTCTCACATAAACCAATATGGAGCTATTTCTCAGAGCTTGCAGAAAAACAGAAATTAATTGATTTCCAACTTTACCCATCTGTCTCGTGATGATGACCTGGTTTGAATAAGTTCAAGGTTCTTGCAAGCAAGTAAACGACTTCGAACTTTGTATACACAACGGTACACTTCTGATAAGCTTTTACCAGGTTGATATCTAAATAAAGAACCAAAATAGAAAAGTTACCTAATTTCTAACATCATGAGAGCAAATATTTGTCTGAGGATAGTTTTAAGTTACTTGCCGGCTTTCTCCACATGCTTGACTAAGTAAATTTGTGTGTTTCAGAAGAGCTGCAAGAACAAATCTAGACACAGTGTCCAAGAGTGACTCATTACTTAAAGTTGCACTGTCCCAATCTGAAAATAAAAATGATGCATTGACATTTAAAAGGACTCAGAAAACAGTTCAGAGGTAATTTTAATAGCTTAGCTTTAGTGATCGAACACCTGAATTTCATCATCTTTCTTAACAGTTTCTTAACAAAGGCACCTCATTATATCCACTTACTATTCCAGATGCTGGGGGTACAGTAGTGAGCAAAACTAAGTCCCTGATCTTGTTAGGAAGAGAGAGGTGGGAGAGACAAGTTTAAAAAACCTTAATACGGCAGGTAAGTGCTATGGAGAAAAACAAAGCTGAGTACACAGAACGGGAAGTATTATACTGTGTGGGATTACTATTTGATATAAGGCGGTCTGGGAAAGTTCCTGATAAGGTTACATTTGAGCAGAGATCTAAATGAAGTACACGAAGACGCCACATGGAAACTCCTCTCAGAAAAAGCTAGCGCAGAGGATCTGAGGTGGGTTCATGGAGGCCAGTGTGGCTGGAGCAAAATGTTCAGGTACAAGAGTAGTAGAAGACATTAGAAGCCTAGATGACAATGAAGTTATAGGCCAGTGCAAATCTTCCAGATTTTTCTGTGAGGAAGATGAGAAGCAGTATTAGAAGGCTTTGAACCGAGATATCACATGATCTAACCTGTCTTTGTAAAAGCTCACTCTGAGTCCCAAGGGAAGAAGTGACTATAAAGACAGCAATAGCAAAAGTATTTGTTACAATAATTCAGTGGAAAATGATGGTGGTTCAGAACAGGGTAGGAGCAGTGAAGGGAGTAAGTTGGACAGAGTTGTATATATTCTGTATTGACAGAATTTGTTGCTAAACCAGTTAGATGTATGATGTGAGAATATGAGAAAAGTCAAAGTAGAACTTACATGTATTTAAAATGTAGCTGGTATTTACTAAGAAAGGAAAACTACAAGAATAGTGGTCTGAGGGCAGGGAATTGAAATCATGAGTCTATCAACAGACACTGTCTATCAGACATCACGTATAGATAGCAAGTAAACTAGTCAAATATTCTGGTATTTGTAGCCATGAAAATATATACTGTGAATACAAACACATTGAAGTCGGTAAGAAATGAAACATTTGGACAAAAATGAAGGTATACAATTGAAAACCTAAATAGCAACATGAAATGATGAAGACTAAACAGGTGCTTTTTCTTTCCATTCTTTAATTCCATGTTAGCACACCAGTATTGTACTTTAAAAGGGCAGTACATGCAGTAGATTCCAAATGAGGTGGGAGGTTTATTGTCTGCTCTGCCCCCAGAGTAACTGCTAGCTAGAGTATGTTTATTTCATAGACTTACTAAATATCTGGGCTACCTATAAACAAAACGTTAACAACCAAAAAACTCACTTGGAAAACTTTCAGCCACAAATTAATTTTTTTTTCTTCTTTCTTTCCTCCCTCTCTCCCTCCCTTTCTTTCCTTCCCTTCCCTCATTTATTTTTTGACACAGGTCTCACTGTGTTGCCCAAGCTAGAGTGCTGTGACATCATCATCATCATCATCATCATCATCATAGTTCAGGGCAAACTTGAACTCCTGGGCTCAAGCAATTCTCCTGCCTCAACCTCCCAAGTAGTTTAGACTATAGAAGTGTGCTACCACACCTGGCTAATTTTTTCTATTTTGTGCAGTATCAATAGTCTCACTCTGTTGCTCAGGCTGGTCTTAAACTCCTGGCCTCAAGTGACCCTCCCAAAGTGCCAGGATCACAAGCATTAGTCGCCATGCAAGCCCTTTATTTATTCTTAATCCCTTCTTAAAACTGCTATTTTAAGAGATAAAATATTATTATCTTGGTTTTCCATTTCATTTCTGTATGCCTAGGTGAAAAATGTAATTTCAGACTTACCTACTTTACGGGTGAAAAAACTGACAAGACAAATATGCCAAATTTTTAGAAAATCTTACAGCCCACAGAGAATCTTATAATGACAGCCTATATTACATACAAAATTTTTTTTACATCAGTTTCTTGAGAAATCATCTTGTTCCACAGGATTGCTTGACATTCAGAGAACTGCTATGACTAAAAATCAAACAAGACTCCATTTCAAGGAGCCTAATGTTCAATTTTAAAAAGCAAACTAAAAGAATACTTTTTGCTATTCATCAAACTTAGTGGGGATTATCCTCCTATGCAATTTTTAAAATAATAGACTCCTTTAAAACATCTTAATTTAAGTTATGTTCACTTCATACCAAACACTACAGAATGTTTCCACTATTCAGGTATAAAGTCTGTGCTATAGTGTATAAGCAATACAGCAAATGGAGTCATACAGTTAGTTCTTCTTCCTTTTTTTTTTTTTTTTTGGAGACAGAGTCTCACTTTTTCACCCCCAGTAGAATGCTGTGGTATCATAGCTCACAGCAACCTCAAACTCAAGCTCAAGCAATCCTCTTGCCTCAGCCTCCCTCATAGCTGGGACTACAGGCATCCACCACAATGCCTGGCTATTTTTAAAGATGTGGTCTTGGCTCGGCGCCTATAGCTCAACCGGCTAAGGCGCCAGCCACGTACACCTAAGGTGGCGGGTTCGAATCCCCAGCCCGG